AGCTGGGAGAGAGGTGTGAACAGGCTCTTCCTCAGAGCAAACCACTGGATTTCCAGTCTCTACAACTGTGAGATGGCACATTTCTGTTGTTCAAGGCACCCAGTCTGTGGAGTCTGATGTGACAGCCCTAGGATACTCATTCAAAGTTCACCCCTCTTACTTTCACTTGCATCTTATCCTGCAGATCTGGGTTGGTGATCACAGGGATAAACTGATGCCCATGACAAGGAAACTGTCAGATGGCTTCACATCTTAATCCAGTTAAAATTAAAATTCTCTTTTCTTCCAAAAGTTTTATGAAAGGTATTGGGTATTTCAGGCACAAGGAATAGGAGATAACATTTTATGGGTGAGCCCCTTTAACACCATTGTAGCGAATAGGTTGTTTTATCTATCATCTTTGAGACCCTTCTACCTAAGAATGTATCTTCCCTTACTCCCAGACTTTATAAGAAGTTGATACTTAATTAAATCTTTGTACAAATTCAATTTAACCAAACTATATTCGGGTTGGCCCTTGATTATTCCAGTATAATCATTTGCATGATTTTTAGTGCCATATTTGTTGAAAACTGATCTTAGAATCTTAAAAATGGCATAGCTTCTTCAGAAATCATTAGTGCTTTATAATAAGAATAATATTGAATATATTATGTCATAATACTGGAAATTACAGTTGCAAAATAGCATTATCATGGGGTGTTCTGAAGTGCAAGAAATGGAAAGGCATGCTGGGAGAGAGAAACGTCTTTACTCAGCACATTTTGGCTGTCTGCGCACTCAGGCTAAGAGGCAGGGAAGAGCTTATGGGTCCCTCAGTGTTGCACCACCCCAGGCTTCAGCCTATAGAATTCTGGTTGATGAAGAGGATTTCAGTCCCAGAAGTCAAAGTAGGTAGAAGTGTTGTCATATTTGAACATACCTTTTGCCTATTAGTCTGGTTTGTACTCCGCATGTATGATAATTAACTCTATAAGGTTTTATAAGATAAATAAATAAATTGATGCTGGCAAAAAAATGGGTGGAGGGAAGAGGAAAAAAACTGAAATGTGTTATGCGCATGTTCCAGTTCCATACAAAGAATGTAATTATTGTGTGCTACAAACATATATTAATGATTTTTTTTTAAAGGCAAGAGAGGAAAAAGCAAAAAAAAGAAAGCATGTTTTGTTCTTTAGAATAGATTTGCATTTTTGAAATAAAAATTTGACATTTAAAGAAAATACTTATTTGCTATAACTTAGCCTGATAATTTTATTCTCTTCTAGTTGCTCATAACTTTTGATTGATACTCTATTTTAAAAACATGGTTGGAAAAATACATAAAGTATATTCCTCTATACTTAACTGAGATAGTTCTTAGGCTGATTAACTTTATCCTTTTAATACTTTGATTTATTAATGCTATTAATCAATATACAAATTCATAGATTACCATGATGAAAATAAATATGTAAAGAACTTAAGACATTTTTGGCAATGAGAATTGGTACAAGTGCTGATTTAAAATTTTGGATGTGTTCTATACCAATTAGAACATTTTGTGCAATTCTGATGGAGTATTTATTTTGGCAGCTTCATTACCTTTAATCCAGGAATATTCTGCTTAAAACTGCCAAGATTAAGCAAAGCCAAGGAAGTGCCAAGGAATGGAGACAGGAAAAAGAGTGAATTAATTTCCTTGAGTCCAATTCACAAGAATTAATTTAGCCCGGTGTATGTTCCCGTGCCGAGTCTCATGAAGACAGGTTTTTCTTTTCTCCTTTTTTCCTATGATTTTGAAATGATTGACTCACAAACTGGTTAACAAACATCTAGTCTTTCCCAAGGCATCTCAGTGCTCTTGAGATGGTTACCATTATCCTTTCCTTTGTGGACTACAAGATACTTAAAGCAAGCATGTGCAACCATCTCTTATAGTCTTAGGACAAAACCTATTTCCTTGGAACAATTATATGTAAATTTTATGCCCCCTTCTCTTCCACCAAATACTGGAGTCATACAATGGATGTTTTCATGGCACCAAGGAGCCTCATGTTTCAGCTTCATCTGAGGAACTTATCAAACAGTGAGAGAGAGGAACCTAGGTGGGTTCTTGGTGTTTGTCCATCCATCTACAACAGCCCAGTTATTTTCACTTTCATGTGGCAGAATATTAGTGACTTCAGCTGGCATCTTACAGAAGAGCTATTTATGTCACCGCTTGCTATTCCCTCCCAACTTGTGCCTGAATGCTATCAGTTTTCCTTTGTGTGGTAAAATGATCCCGATGAAAAATGTTCTGCAGCAGGAAAGTAGTGATACTGATAACAACACTTTACTCAAAGATGCATATTCATTCTGCAAATAGCATTTTATTTTCCAAACCCAAACCTCTTTGGGACTCTGAGTTACCATTTTTCCTCTTGTGATTGATTGGGAGGCAAACTTGTATAATGTTTAAAAGGACAGGATAAGGTAGGCAGGCTGTTCAGATCTCACCGCCACCTCTCCAGTTGTGTAACTAGGATGGTTACTCACAGTTTGCTTTTCTAAGTGTTAGTTGAGGGTACTAACAAAATCACCCCCTGTCACATTACTGAGACACGATTAAGTGGGTTTTGCAAGGAGAAACACTTAGACTCATGTCAGGTACATGTAAGTAAGTAACTTGGTGAGGGTTAGCTTTCATTACTCTGAGTGTGTGCGTGAGTGTGTGTGTGTGTGTGTGTGTGTGTGTGTTGCTGGGGATTAACCCAGTGCCCATGCACGCTAAGCTCTTGTTACAGAGCCCCACCCCCAGCCCTATTTTCATTGCTTTTTGAAGGAAATGAGGGTTCCATGATTCTACCCAATTTTGTGTAAAGCCAGCTGGAAGGAGCTTGTAGTGTGATTAATTACAAAATATTTCTGTAGCATCCTGGTTTTTTTCTCTTTATTCCATCTCATTTTAGATTTAAACTTATATTTATTAAGTGAACAGGGGATTGTTACTTTTTTTCCTACTGCACTGGCATATACTTTAAAAAAAATCATAGTGTTACTGGCCACTTAGGTTTACATGCTCAAGTTCATTTGCTTGCCACTGACCAAATCAAAAGAAGCCATTTACTCTGGTAAAAAAGGAAAAGGATTTATTCAAATTTGTATTTGCATCAAACCACCTTCTCTCTGAGTACAGGTAGGTAAGGGTCTTTTTTTATAGTAAGGAGCAGAGGAGAGTGGAAACACAGAAAGATAGTGCAGTTCTCCGTACCTGCTTTATCACATCCAGCTATCTTCAGCTCATTGTTCCCTTTCTTGTGGGAAGGAAACTGGACTCTTGCCTCTTGTGGCCATTCATCTGGGCTGAGGACAGGTGGGAACAGCTGTTTCTGCCCTAGGCCTGAGGAAATTTGGAAAAGCCTCTTGTCTTTAAAGGGAAAAAAATCTAACATTTTCAAGTCCCATTTTGTAGTGATGGTTACAGTTGGATAAGAATAGTAATTTTTTTATAATCTAATATTCAGATATCTGAGAATTCTTTCCTGGACTTTCAATCTTGATGGAGTTAGAGGGAGAAGAGACTTGTGAGATGATCCCAGCAGGCAGCCACCTTCTTTAGTCCCTGCCTATGGCCACCATTCTCTCAGGGCACGTCTGGGTTCCCTGGAGTGGTATACAGATTGTGGGGACAGAGGTAGGCAAGGAGCTCCAAGATACATGCAGTCCAGCTTCTCCTTCTTGGACATCCATTCACACTGAGCAGAAAGCAAGAGGGTCTGTTACCAGACAGAGAGTCTTGTGGGGCTTTTTTCCAGGTTCTTGGTGTCCTGAACACAGAATTATACAAGACATGCAAAAAAGAGGCAGAAAAGAAGTACACTCTGCAGAGTAAGAGTGGGCCAGTAAGAAGGCTCACAGTGGGCCTGAGGATAAAAGAAAGGGGTCTTTTGTGCTTGAAATTCCCTGGGTTATCTCTAATGCAAATGGAGCACTGAGAAGGTCCTTCTATCAAACCCTCACTTGGTGTCATGCCACATATAAACTCTCTTATCAGATAACTTACTTGGCTTCTTGGTACACATAAATGAAGGATCAGGAAAGGTGTCTTTGATTGGTTGTGCCCACGTGCAAATGAAAGATTGAAAAGAGCATCTTCTGATTGGGCTTGTGAACAGCACCAGATGCAAATTAAGAACTGAAAATAGCAAGTTCCCGATTTGTTCTGTGCACAGTGATGATGTCACTCTATTGGGATTACCCGTCTCCCACAGGAGTGCCCCTTATCTTGTTGCCTTGTCTTAGGTCTGTTATGATTGCCACGTGACTTTTCATTATTACATATTATTAACATTTCATATGAAGTGATACAGGGATTTCAAGTGATTAGGGGCTACCAGAGAACAACTTCCAAATTTTAAAACTTAAACGATTCTGCTCCCCTAGGAGTACTGCGAAACCCTGTGTTAGTCAGATTTCCATCACTGTGGCAAAATACCTGAGTGAATTCAACTTAAAGGAAGGTAGATTTCTTTTGGCTTAGAGTTTCAGAAGTTTCATTCCATGGTCACTTGGCTGTATTGTTTTCAGCCCTGTGGTGGGGAAGAGCATCAATGATGTGAAGCATAGAGCAGAGCAGGCTGCTCACTAAACAGCAGCCTGGAAGCAGAGAAATAAAGACTGAGGAAGGGGCCAGGGATAAAACATAATCTTCAAGGGCATTGCTTCCCCAGTGATTCTACTTCTTCCAATTAGGCAGCACCTCCTAAAGTTTCTGTCACTTTGAAATAGTTCATTAGATTATGGATATGTACATCGATTAGATGAACCCATTTAATGAGGCCAAAGTTCCCCAGAGTCAACTCCCGAAGGCTCCACCTCTGAGCACTGCCGTGCTGGAGACCAAGCCTTCAGTGCCAGGCTTCCAGGGCAACAGTTAAGATCCATAATTAAGATCCATAATGAACTCCTTATATGAAGAGGGTATATTTAACAGCAGTTTACCAAATCTTCTAATTTCATTTCCTTGTATGTTACAGATTGATGTTCTCAAGGCAGATCTGGAAAGTGCAGAATGGAAAGTTTTGGAAAATCTTATTCTGGAAGATGTCCTTGAACAGATTGGACAGCTTGTCTTTGAGATTCATCTCCACTGGCCTGGGTTTGAGGTCAGCGGCAGTGACAGCAGCGTTGTGAGGTTCTGGTACAGCCTTCTCAAAGAGCTAGAACAGAAGGATTTCAGGCTTTTTCACAGTTACAAAGATTTATCTAAACCTCAGCTATTCCTGAAGAAAGATCTTTTCAATGCTAGTAGCTGTTACACTTTGAGTTGGGTGAATACAAGGTGGAAATAGGGTTTAGGACTTCATCAGAAACACAAGGAAGGATTTTGCAGAATGGAACAAGTCTACCACGCTGGTCCTATGTTTGCTGTCCAGCCTCTCACCTGCCTGTTGTTATGGACTTGAGATGGGGATTGTGATTGCTTCTGTAGATGTGTTCCCTGGCACTGGACAGGGGTAGTCAATACTTGTTGAAGGGACTAACTCCGTCATTCCCATCTGCCCAAACTCAGCCTCTTTCTCTTTTTGCCTTTGACAGAATGGTGATGTTTGTTCCCCTTCACTTGTATTTGGAAGCTAATTCCTCAGTTCATTACCAATTTCTCTCCAACTCATTATGTAACTAGAGTCCATGAACTTACAAACATTATGCAAATTTGCCATTTTACTAAGTTGATATTCTTAAATTCATTGTCCACCTTTTAAAATTGGATCTTTCATCTGACTTCTGTCATCTCTTTCAAGGTTTTGCTTGTCTACATAGTCAATAGCATTCTTTATAGCCTTGTGGATATCAAAATTCCTTCTCAGCCTTTGCTGAGGCCATGCTGTGGCTTTGTAAGAATCACTGATTCTAGTTTCTGGGAATTCAGACACACCAAATTCTGACCCTGAGTTTTTTTTGTTTTTTTTTTAAACAAGACTATCAACAGCTTCAATTCAACATTCTTTTCATATTCAGCCTTAATGCTCCTTTATTACTTAATAACCTAAGTCTCCTCTGCCCCTTGTGCTTTAAAAGATGATTTCCCTGCCAGACTTGCTTATGCTGTCACATCTTTGTTTTTTAATACACGATCTCAAACTTTAAGTACATTTCTCTTTACTGCCAGCTGACATCATTTATGACTGTGGCTGAAAATCAGTCTCTTGCCCAGTGTTGCAGTGGTTCCAATTCTTTTTGTATATTTTTTTTAAAATGAAGAAGATTAAGTAGGTTCTCAATGGTTCAAATGATTTGTTCTTTTCTTTTTGGTGCTGAGGATGAAACTCAGGACCTCGTGCTTGCCAGGCAGGTATGGTGCCACTGAGCAACATCCCCAGCTGGGTTCAAATGATTTTTGTCATTGCTATTTACGGGAATAGGCTCTCCTATGCCTGCTTTTCCAAAATATTCTATTTTGAATAAATTAATGAAATAGCATAAAATAAGAGAAATTAATTAAGTATATTTCTGGCATTTTTGCATCCTGAAAGTGTGAAACTATGTATGTTGTTCAAACAATTTTGGAGGAAATAGAATACTGGGCATGCTTTATCCTGTCTCCCATTCTTTTTTTTTTTTTTTTAACTTGCTTCTACCCTTAGACATTCCCTGTTATTTTTCTTGCAATGGTTTAAAAAAATAACTATTCTTCAAGTGAGAAACCCATATATATTACAATAGAATGATCTCATTAACTGAAGTTCAAAAGAGAACAGAATTTCTGAATTAGTTGTGAATTTTTTTAAAAATGAGATTTTGATTTTGAAAATCATAAAATCATAAAGCACACATTAGAGGTGTTGTAGCTTGAATAAGTGTGACTTGAAACGGCAGCTCAGTCCCTTCAGTGAACATCAGGTAGTGGTGCTGTATGAGGGCCTGCGTCCTACAGCAGCCATGCACAGCCCTCTCTGTCGACACATGAGCCAAGTAACCCAGTATTGCCCCATCACCTGAGCATTCAGGTTCAATTGCAGTGTTGGCACTTAATGATAAGTAAGTGGGACTTTGGCTGCAGTTTGGGCACTTGATCTCCAAAAGGTTCGTCATCACTGACAGGCATTTTAAATGAGCAGAAGCATCCACGAAAGCTCTGGCATGGTTTGTACTATCAGTTTGTATGATGTGATCTCCAAAGCAAAGCTAACTTTAGTCCAGTTCTGTTGGGATTATTTCACAGATTTTTTTCATTAAAATTTTATACACTGAAATGTATATAGTAAATGGTTTTATTCACTGGCATGTGGAGCACCCTAGTCTTAAGTGTCTAATTTGTTCAACTTTTAGATGTGTCTATACTTGTATCAAGATTTTTAATTCACAGAATGGGAGACTTGTGGCATTACTGGAAACTTCCATGGGTAAAGCAAATTAACTAACCCAGAACAGTGATACAGAACATTAACTTCATCACACTATATATATCTGAAGCAAGAATGGATGTACTGTTAAAAAGAATCAAACACGCCCACCCATATCCACCTACTAGGCAGAATGTTCAGTCGTTAACCATTTTTGTGAATGTTTATTCTCTTCGTGGGCAGTACGAAATTTAGGATGATAATCTAATGGTTACTAGGGTTTCCCTGCCTCTAGAATCGATTGTGCTTATCATGGAGGCCACAGTTTCTTAACCTCAGCGCTATTGCCAACTGGGACTAGACCATCCTTTGACGGGGTGGGAGGAATGCCCTCCCATATTGTAGATGTGTATTGTGAGTTGTTTAGCAGCATCACTGACCTCTACCCACTAGAAGGCAGGAGCAACAGTTACACCCCTCAAGTTGGGACTAACAGATGCCTGCAGACAGTGGCGTATGTCCCCTGGAGCACAAACTATCTACCATGGAGAGGTAGTGATGTGGGCCATGAGAAGCGGGCAGGCTACTGCAGTGCTAATGTTTGCTGGTAAAGAACTGGCAAATACAAGATCCTCTATGGGGGAATAGATAAAGTAATAACCATCACCCCCAGAACCCCCACAAAATGAGCACAAATGGAATACAACAAAACAGCAAAAACAGGATTTACTATTTATGCCAAGCACTTTGCATAGATTATTCCTAGTTCAATTCAGCAGAAGTGCAATGTTTCCAATTGTATGGGTAGAGAAAGTCTGCGTGGTTACACAGTTTATGCAGAATATCCAGCTAGGAGCTGGTGAAATAGGAATCTATGTTCATTCTCAATCTGTCAGATCCCACAAAGACTGTGCTGTGTCTCCAACACCACACAGCCCCATAATCGTTACCAAGCATAATATGCTGCATCAGAAGGTCACGTTATTAGCCTTCTTATTAGTAAAAGGGGGAAAAAACTACCTTGGAAAAAATGAACAGACTGAAGATCGCTTTACATTTGCATCAGGGCAGAACAAAAATAAATTCATGAATACATAGCATTGAACCCTGTAAGCATTTTTACTTTATCAGATCTTTTAGTAAATACTGTCCAAGATTTGAATTTCTTAATTATTAAATGTTGGAATTTACAAAGTTTGGATTAAACCAGTAAGCCAGGCTCACTACATTTTGGTCAGTTTATAAATGAAGGCCTCATTTAAACAGGTTTTTCTACGTCATAATACAACGACATCCAAAATATCTTTCTTTGACTTGCATTAAAAGAGGTATTTGAGATTCAGTTCTATGAGCTCATAACCCCAAAAGGTTCCATCTTTTTTAAACTGCCTAAATTTAAAGACTGTATTTTTTGAATAATTTTATCATATCTCTCTCCTTAAAAATTAGGTCACTCAGGGTTAATGTCATCACCCTTTATGATTAGAACTATATGGAAAAAATCCTAGTCCTCAAGGCATATAAATGAATGCTATCTAAAACCAGCAGCTTCCTATTCTCATGTACAACTCTAGTGATTTGACTTTGTACTGTAAGATTGAAATAAGGGATTATTTTGGGGAGAGTGTATCCAACTTTGAATTCTAATCTGGATTATTTCAGCAGAGAAGCCCAAGGCACACAGGAATGATAGCCAAATAATATATAGCACTAAAAGTGATCTGTTGCAAAATGTGATGATTAGTTAATGCAAATGAACTGTGTACTTGAAATTTGCTGAAAGTATATTTTAAATGCTCTTACCCCCTACAAAGGCTAGGTATGTGAAATAATGGATGTTAGCTTGATTTAATCATCCCACATACTTACATATACAATGAGATAGCCTTGTGATAAGAATGTGTAAGTATTACTTGTAAATTTAAAAAAGTATATCCCATGAAATACTCTGGACATATTTTTATACAAAACAAAACAGGACTGGGGATTCAGCTTGGTGGTTCTGCTGCCTGCCTTGCAAGTGCAAGGACCCGAGTTTGATCCCCAGTACCCCCCAAAAAGGTAGATCTATATAAAACAAAACAAACCCACAGAAACAATCTTCTAGTACAGTAAGTCCCTGATGGATCTTGCATTACAAAAATTCATAGATGCAAGCAAATCCTGGAAGTAGCGCACGTGTGTGCTGGACATTGTCACAGTTACGCTGCTGGGTGCTTACTGCACAGTGTGATAGTGTACAGTGGCACAGAACTCCATCAGAGCCAGGATGCCTGGAAGCAAGAGGAAAAGCAGTGGTGATGTGGAGGGAACTGCTAGGAAGTGCAAAGCAACTTGCATTGTATATTTGTGTCAAGGGTGTGAAAGACTTACAAACAAATCCTACTTACGAATGTTCTCCTGGAATGGAACTTCTTTCTAAGTTGGGGACTTAACTGCAGAGCCAATGTGCTGGTGACTGTGGTCCTGAGTGACCTGGACCTTCCTGACAGAACAATTAGAGGTTAATGCAGAGCTGATTAACAGGGTGATTAAAGGTTAGTACCCAGTGCTATAGATGGCCTCCAGGCCTCCAACGCAGCAGCACTGGGGCAGTTTCCATTCTAACTGCCCCACTTGTCATCACATGGTGGGGCACATAACAACCATTCCTGGGTGGGCATTTATAAGAAAAAAAAAACCTCAAGTGGGTTCTATAACATTAATGAAAAATCATAATTATGTATCAATAAAAATAAGCTATCTGATTACAATATTTCTTGAGGATTGATGTCAGATCAAACATCATTTGCTCAGGGATAACTGCCCTCACTTCAGCTCCAGCTTTGTCCCCAGATGCCCTATTCTCACTCGCCCTGTATCTTACTATCTGCTCATATAAAGCTTTTTTTTAGAAGACTGTAAGCTCAGTGTGGTAAGGGCCATGTCTGCAGCCCCAGTGCCTACCATGGGACCTGCTATGTAAAGGTACTCAATAAATATTTGTTGAAGATAAGCTTTAAAAGCTTTTGTATATTCGACTTTTTCTACAAAATTATATCTCATCACCATTTACTACTGAACTTTTTTCTAGCATTACAAATATCTTTGGAAATTAGATGGATCATTCTCTCCTATATTAAATTTAGGCACAATTTGTATGATGCCAGGAGGTTATTTCCATGGATAAGAGGCTGGTATTTTTGTGCAAATGATTCAAGTCACATTGTGTTTATTGGATAATAGACGATAAAGAATGGTTGAAAAAGTAAAATCAAGATAAAGATATTATATATTCCCAAGATTGAAGTATGAGTCAAGGAATTCTCCATGTGGGCCCAGAGAAAGTGATAGGGGCCCAGTCTGAAGGAAAGAATCATAAGAATGTCTTTCATGTATAGGTAGTTTTAATATAGGATGAAGTCAGCATTATCTAAATAGCTGTGTTTCTTTTAAACTACCTGACAAACAGCAATATATATGTCAGACATTTTTATGTGTATACCTACATTTATATACCTATCCGTATTTTAATTACCTTTTGTTAATTCATTATGCCTTTACTCATTGATCAAATAAATATTTTATAACATGAATTTTGAGGCACCAGCTATAATAGCCAATTTTCCATTAATCTCATCTCCCTTGGTACTTACTTGGTTTATTCTGTATTTCAATTCTTTTATAATCCATTAGAAACGAATGAATGCTGCCAATTAGATTGTGACACATCACTGTTTGAAACCATAGTCCTACTCAGAGATGTCAAATGTGGAAAGTACGCATCTGTGATAAGATACCGTTCAGTATTCCCCAAGTCTTACATTGAGAGCCCACTTAAGATTGCTAATGATATTGCGGCCCATACGCCACTTCACTCCTTTCCCCATGCCTGAATTCAGCACGCTACCCCAATTATCCACTGTGTTCTTCTGAATTCCACAGCTTGGTAAGCAGCACAATCCTGAGGTGATATGAGGTGGGGTTCAGTCCATGTTGACCTAGAAGCCTCTGTGAGTTGCTGGTGTTGTGATCATCACAGCTGTCATCTAAGAGATATTTCACTGCTAGGGTTTGCTTGTAGGCAGTTTATTAACATAGTCCTCAAGATGTCCACTATATATTTCTACTTAGAAATAAAGACTGTTTGATGTTACTCCCTGTTCTTTATTGTAAAATTATCTCTTTAGCACAAAATATTTCCAGCTTATGCTTCAATATTTAAATGTTCATTCAAGTGAATCTTTCACTAAGGCATCACTTTTATTCTTTGAGGAAGGAAATATGTGTTGGGTGTGACAAAAAAGGTTGCAGTCAGGAAGAGGAACCAGATGGTAACTACTTACATCCAGTAACAAGATCTTGAGACTTTTTATGCTGGGGAAAAGCTGTACTCATTTGTGTATTCTGAATGGGGTATAACCATGACTTAGTAGGCCACTAACAGCCCTGAATGTACTGCCTTGTACTTTATCATTTAGTTAGAATAATTCCATTAATATATGAAATATATCAGACCCACCTCTAAAACATTTGTTACCATATGACCCATTTAAGCCTACAAATTGTTGTGTGGTGTTTCAATATATTTAAGACTTAAAAGGAAATAAATGATAAACATTTCAACACTTTCTAAAAAAAACCGCTTTATTCAAAAATAGGATATTTTCAGAAAACAGAAAACTTTTATATACAGCTGCTTAGTTTAGAAACAGTCAAAAACACAATAAAATAAATCCAGATTTAAAAATTATAATTTGTAACATAAACAATACTGGTGCTGAACAGTTTAAGATGTATGATATTTTTTGCCCCATCTCATTTTAATAATTCACATTTGTCAAAACCAGTGGTTGGGACTAAAGAAAGGCCTTAATTCCTTCCTCTTAGCTGACACTCCTCCTGGCTGTGGATACAAAGACTGGCAAGCAGCTAGGCAGTGTGCTTGTTTCTTTGGGTACACGTGTATCAAATCTCTATTTTTATGTCCTGTTTTTGTTTTCTTTGGAATTTATTTATATGTGGCTATAGGGCCTGCTAATTTATCAGCTCCCCCTCTCCCCTTTTTGTGGTACTGGGGACTGACCCACAGTCTTCACAGTGAGCTATGTCCCAACCCTTTTAAAAATTCTGCTAAGTTACCCAGGCTGGCTCGGACTCGTGGTCCTCCTCTCTCAGCTTCCCACAGTGCTGGATAACAAAGCCTATGCTACTCACTGTTCCTGGCTCACTAGGCCTTTAAATTATATTTTAAAAATGGAAATTCTCTGAAAACACGGAGAATGCACTGCTGTGAGGGAAGCACGCAACATGGAGCTTAAGGCTCCTGGGCTTTCAACACGCAACATTCCTTCACTTCCCAAGTGGGCCCTCTGGGCCGCTCTGAGCCAGTCTTTCGTAAACAGTGTACTGAAATATTTCAAACCACATTCAAACACCTCATAAGACTTATAATAAAACAGGAGAAGTAGCTCGGCAAACTAAAGTGCTGCTAGCTCTATTAATCAAGAGGCTATCTTGATTACATAATCTGAAGCTTTTAAACATATTTTTAAAAAATGAAGGCCACTGCTTTTCAAACAGGGGAACCCTAGCCATCTTCTTATAGTGTAAATTTTTTCAGAGTTGGAAAAAAATTTTAATTTTTTTCTAATCTTAAAAATTCTGCATATATTTACAACCAAAAGCAGAATCATTTTAAAGATAAAACACGAATTCAAAGAAACTCTAAGTTGGCATTTTGGACTACGTCTTTATACCCTGTCTTCTCTGAGGAGGATTTCAGAAGTAAGATGGGTGAAGCAATGACCTGGGAGACTCTGAATTCTTCAAGTGTCGCCAGGTCTTTACTGCCAGTGAATAAAAACAACATTCAAAACCTTGGCTCATTCTCTTGAGTTCCATCTCCAAAAGTAATGTAATTCGCTGCTTAAATATGTAAGTCCTGTCTATATTGATCAGGAAAAGGTCAGAGAACTCCGGACTGATTTTCATTTTACATTATTTAATAATTAGAGGACAGTTACAGTAAAAGGTTACTGATTTGCAAATAAAAATATACAGCACATGTCATAAAAAATAGTGGAACTCATGAAGCCGAAAGTTTAGACCTTGACCCACTAAGTGTAATGGGAACAGTTAATTGTGGGTGGTTTTATCCTTCTTTCAAATATATATGTGATTACATCATCTTTGTTCTCTACTGCCCTCCTGACTGAACAGGTAGATAAGTATGTGGGCCTTCCCGAGTCACTGATTACATTATTTTCTGGAGGATCCCAGATCTAGTAGGGATTCTTTCTTGATACCAAAAAGATCTTTTTGGTAATGTCATGGGGATTAAATCCAAACTGCTTGCCAACAAGAACTGCTTATCAAACAGAAAGTCAATGGTTATTTGTTGCATAAATAACATCCAAAAAGAATAAAATGAAGTTGCCGGTGACATTATATGAGGCAAATTTACAAATTTTTTCTTAAACAATGGGTCAATTTCATAAAGCCATGTAAGAAAAACATTATCTATAAATCAAGTCGTCATCCAACACATTTAATAATTAAATACAGTTAAATATGACACTGGATCAAAAATGATCCTAGATAGTTTAGGGACCAATCTCATTAATCCCACAATTTAATGAGACCATCCCAGCCACATGTGATGACTTTAGATGTTTCGTGAGGATGCCACACTGCACCTATGCACACTTTATCATGAGCTTTAAATCGACTATAGAGTTTTGTGGTCTTCCAGTCCCAAATGTTTAATTTTCCATTTCCATCTCCTGAAATCACATAGCTGCCAACAGAAAGTGAGTCAAGTTATTCAAAAATACTGTAAAATAATAAAGTGGATGAAGAACAGTGATAGATTTTTCTCTTCATTTTAACATAAAAAAATCAATGGGAATACATAATACACAAAATAATGCAGAACATGAAGTGGTCTATAATATGAACTTCTACAAAATACCTTTCCATTGAGCAACATATCTCAGAAAATTACTTTTAATTGGAAAATTAGAATCCCAGGAGCCACAATGAATGCCTCACAACCACTCTCTGAATAGTCAAACAGTGCACACAAAATCAATTTCAATACAGATACATTCTACTGTAGAGACCTGTGCTGCCTTCATAATTATTTTTTGGCTTTAATATCTTTTGAAAATATATCTATGTCTGAATCAGAGGTAGGAGAGTAAGGCCCAGTTGCCAGGCTAAACATACAAAGCCATAAGGATTTCTGAATTACTTCTACCTCTATACACTAACTAAGAATAGGGGAATGAATCAGAATTCCACTTTTAGCAAGATTACAGGCTTCACAAATGTAGTGTGACCGAGAAATATTCAAAAGGTAGATTTCAGCTTTCAATATAAATAAGCTGTAGTAAAGTTGTTACCATCAATGTCGTGATATGCAATTAATTCTACTCAGTCAGAGCAGTATAGTGATCATAGAATTCCGAGCTTTCTTAGAAAAGAGAAACTAAGGCACTGGTCATATAGACAGGGATTTATTAGGTGATTAAAGGGCACAGGCCTAAGTAATAGAAAGAGATAGGCCAAAGTAAACATCTAAAGAAAAGCAAAAATGTAATTTTTATAACTCGTTCTTACTTTTACTAGCATTTTGACATATTATGCAGTTTTCATACAATTATATATGTGAAAGTGATTTGGGAAGTAGTATTTGCACAATAATTCATATCCTATGTCAAATTTGGATATGAAAATAAATCAGCAGATTTAAACTTACCTCATATCTGGTGAAAAGTCCACTTGACAAGCATAGCCTGCTACCATATGGCCCTTAAAAATTTTTTTCTTATTCAGTCTGAATCTGTTCTGTGCTCCAAAAATTAAGATTTGGTTATCCATTGATTGGCATGCTAGCCATTTCCCTGTAAATTCAGTAAATGAGACATTTGAGAGAAAGACTGAAATATTTAAAAATTGTTTATTTAAAATATGTTCAGTCATTATTATTCTTTCTGCTTCCAATTACCTTCTAATACTAGAAAATACATTTAATATGCCACTGTAAAGTTTTGCTAATAATGTAACTTCCAGGAGTTGTTTTATATAATGCATGCTATTCCTACAATTTTATTATTAGAGTATTCTTCATAGAAAAGCTTCTTTATTTAAAAAATACAGAAATTCCAAATTCACTGTTAATAGAACTAAGTTAAAAGTTTAGGAGGTGGGGCTAGGGATTTAGCTTAGTGGCAATGCGCCTGCCTTCAAGCGCAAGGTCATCCTGAGTTTGATCTCCAGTACAAAAAAAAGTTTAGGAGATGAAATTAGTTTGTAATAAGTGCAGGCAAGAGAACTATGGAAAGAAAGAGACCTGTCTGTGGTGACTGAAATAAAAAAAGAGGCCTGTCTGTGGTAACTGAAATAAAGATGAACTCTGGTGAGAAAAGAGGATTATAAAACAAAACTGAACTAAAAAAAGATATGATTAAAACAATTATAGTAATTGTTTTTGAAAGGGTGCATTGCTTTTATCCATCCAGGATACATCAAAGCCTTTAGAACACAGTATTTACTTGTAATTTGTTAACATTACTAACTAAGGAAATGGCCCTAACATTGTCTGATCAGGTGAATGGCTTTGTTGAAGACAGGCACAGTATTTGTAATAGGGGTTTGAAAACACATTACATGAAGGTAGATTACAATGACAAAGTAAGGAGTATAGCACTTATCAAAGTAGGATCTAGCTCTACTGCTCTCATGAATGATGGACAAGAGCCGGGGATCTAGCTCAGTGGTTCCGCCACCTGCCTTGCAAGCACAAAGTCTCAAGTTTGATGCCCAGTACTACCCCCTGAAAAAGAATGATGGGCATGTGACAAGTGTCACCCATCTGCCTGCACAGATGCCCAGGCAGAGGATCCAGCTCTCCTTTGCTACCTCATCATGGTCTTACATGTATGGCAGCTATATGAGTTCATGGCAGCTACAAAGATGATGTTCTCAAACCACAGAGCTTCTCCTGTAATGCCCTATGTAGAGCTCTAATTACATCAGTATTGTCAGTATGTCTGCCCCACAAGTTATTTTGTACTTAAAAGGCAATGGATTGTTAAATAGCAAATAGCATTAAGAGGATTTATCTTTTTTATTTTTGCTTGAGAAGATCTTTTCCAGTGAATTGCTAAGGTGTTCTCATTATGCAGAAGCAGACTAAAATTTCCTATCCCCTTGAAAGAAAAGAGCTTAAATGATTTATTGAATCTTATTTGTTGGAAGCAGAATTATTAAAACAAAAACAAACATTTGATTGTCAGAATGAAACTGTTAGATGCTCAGGCAATGTTAGCTGTAAATCATTATTTATTTTTTAAGTGCCTCACAGGAAAACCAGCCATTATCTCTAATACTGAAAAGATTTCCTTCTACAGTATGGTGGTGTGGCAGACCTCCCAAAAGGGAATGAATACATTACAGCAAATCTTGGAAGCTCATTAAGAACACATTCTATGTACCAACTCACCGTTTGGAGACAAAGTCACTGCAGGCATTGAGTGCATACTGGGTTCGGCTATGTACTTGAAATCCACAGGGATATCCCTAAAATTTAAAATATAGTGGCTTAGGATGACTGAAAACATGGCATGAGGCATGGTCTTTAGGGTAAATGATACCAAGATCCTTGAAGAAAATGACAGTCTTCTTAGTGAGGAGAGCAATTTATAGTAAGTTCTTATTTTAATAGAAATATAACATTTAATCTTGAAGAAAGGAAAGATTCAAAATGTCACTAAAGATTTATCCTTTTGCTTTGAAAGGGGAGGAGACATCCAGTCTTGAAACCTTGGCTAGATTGGGTTCCTTGAGTTTTAACAAAAGCTTAAAACTAGAAAAAAATTGAAAATAACTGGTAATGGTGACTAGATTTAGAAAGTGGTTTAATTCCTGTAGCCCAAAATTTATTATATGTCTCATTTTTTATTGCCCATTTACATATGTTAAGTATTGTTTCCAATTTTTAAATTTTTTATGAGGTTCTACATTTAATAAAGGTAGATAAAAAATGTTAAAAAAATAAAACAGCAGATCAAGACAAGTAATTTTAGAAAGGACTTTTAGAAGAATTATCTCTGAAACAAAGAACAGTATCCAAATAAAAGCAATTCTTGCAATTGTACATTTACTAAATGACTCAATTTCATCTTTCTTTATGGCAGAGCAGTACTCTATTGTGGGTAAATACATTTTCTTTATCCATTCATATGCTGATGGACATGTAGGTCACTTGCAAGATTTAGCTATTATGAACTGTGCTGCTATAAATAGGCACACATGTATTGCTATATAATATGATGTCTTCAACTCTTTTGGGAAGACACCTAGAAGGCCAATAGCAGCAAATGGAATTTCTATCTTTAGTTTTATGAGGAAATCTCCATACTGATTTCCATAGTGGTAATTAGTTTACATTCCCACCAACAATTCAGAAGGGCTCCTTTTTCCCCACAGCCTCACCAGCCTTTGTTGTTACTTGATTTCTTGATGATGGCCATCCTTTATGAGGTAAGATGGAAACTTGGTGTTGTTTTAATTTGTATTTCTCCAATGGCCTGAGTTGCTGAACATTTTTTCATGTATTTATGGGCCATTTGTTCTTCTGAGAAGTGCCTATCTGTTTCATTTGTCCACATAAACTAGTAAAAACTTTAACAACTGTACCATGGTGGGCAGAAGCCAATCATTTGAACAAGCCTAGGGGGAATGTTATTTTACATGTTGACCACCCTTAATACATTACTCTGTGAGCAGCTGAGAAAGCTAAAAGCCATTGATAGCAGGCAGAACTGCAGGGATCTGTGAACTAACGAGTCTAATCCATCTTCAAATAACGACCACAGACAAAAAGATTAACGTGCTTGGTACCTACTATTTTTGGTTTACATGTAAAGTATTTAAACATGTATAGTGCAGAAGAAAAAGCATTAAAACAAAAAACTCATGTGAGTAATATAAAGGATTAAACAAAAATGCAAAACTAGTCACTTAAATTTAGAGCCATCAAAAATTTGAAGTAGCCGGGGATTTAACTCAGTGGTTCCACTGCCTGTCTTGCAAGTGCAAGGACGGGAGTTCAATGCCCAGTACCAAAAAAAAAAAAAAAAACAAACCCAAAAAACAAAAATTTGAAGTACATAAATTCTACATTTTAAAAACAGTAATTCTGAAAGGAATTTTGATCTTATTGCTTTTCATGAGACTAGAAAAGTTTTTAGTTATGTCGGAAATGTAATATGAGGAACAGTGGACTATGGTGCAGCAATTTAATTTCAAGCTGTAGTTCAAATTTCAATAATGTCTTTAACTGGAAATTATAATTATTTGCTTCACGTAAGAATTTTCTCTGTCCATATTCATCTAACCAACCAGAAGAAGGAACAAATGAGAAAACTTCCCAAGGTCTTGGTTAGAGGAAAATAATTTCACATGTAACCAGGGAAATAACATTTGTCAGATCTCCAATCCTTTATGCTCTAAAACAGCAGTAAGAACCGACATTCACAATGATTCAAATCTACCAAAAAAAAAACCAAAAAAAACTTTGATCTAAAAAAGCTTCAGGTCTTTGCCTCTTTTTTTTTTTTGGTACGGGGGATGGAACTCGGGACCTTGCGCTTGCAAGGCAAGCAGTGGAGCCACTGAGCTAAATCCCGGGCCCTTTCTTGCTCGTATTTATTTTTAGTGGGCTAATAACTTTGTAATACAGACTGAAACATAAGAGCATTTTCTTAACCACAGTGTTGGTTCATATTAGTCAATGTTGTACTAAACATGGAACTACAAATTCACATGAACCCTTCCTTCAAGGAATCGCGGTACAACAAGCTCTAGAACAGAATTGAGTCTAAACTACTGCATGGATTTCATTATTACAAGTAAAATTAGCTGCTAGGTATACAGTAGTTAAATTTAATAAAGAGCACTATTTTTCTAATTAGATATTGTAATCCAGTATAATAAGGTAGAAACAATTTGGAAATTAATAAAAGAAAACTAACAAAGGTCTATGAAAATTTTAAATGAAAAAACAGTAATAGTAATCAACCTGTGTAAAATTTCATTTTAGTGATTTTTACTAAAACAAAGATTTTGGGGAGAAAACATCCACATTTCATGTATTTAGCCAATTAAAACGCCACAGCTGCTGAGTACCTACTGTAACTTCCAACATTCCTTCAGAGCTACACAAGTGTCTTAGTCTGTACTGCTCAGTCTGCTTAAGAAAGCCAAGTTTCCCTCAGTTTGTTTTTTCATATCACTGTGCCAGTTAAAAGTAGGTATAGGGCATGTAAGTTTGGCAAACACCACTCATCTGAAGGCCTCTATGCTGTGAACTTTCCTGAGTGGGGTCAGCTCTCACATTGGGGTGGTTAGGGCCTCCCCTTTATGCAAGCTGCCAGGATCACTAGCAATTTCTGGGGATACTGAGCTAGTTTTGCTTCCTACTTACCTTTGCAGTAAGACTGATCCTTACATGTATTACTTTTTCATTAAACAGATACAAGTTACCTGTTCAGTCCTCTCATTCACCTAACTATCCAGCAATATTATCAAGAACTCAAGTTTTGGAATCATTTGACCCAAGTTTGAATTCTGGTCCTTTTGTGTCCTGTATAATCTTACATAAATTACTTAACCTATTTAGTATCTTTATATAAAAATGGGAATAACAACTCATAACATTGTTTGGCACATTAAGTCAGAGTTCACATAAAAATGCTCAGCACATATTGGCATATAGAAAGGACTTCATTAATGTAATGCCATTAGTGATTATGACAGTGATGACTTCTGACAGTAAGGATTAAACGGAAATCTAAAGGGTGTCATGATTTGTAACCAAACAGTATTATGACCTTTTAGGAGTATGAATATTTGAGAGAGAGAGGGGTAAAAAAGCTAACATTACCCCTTTAAAGCATTTTGCTGACCAATGTTCTACTTTAGAAAATAAAAGCATTCTTAAGCTCTGTAACTGGTACATAATTTAAATACCAATTTATTTTTCATGATTCTACATTTTAAGATGTAAATGAAATATCTTCGGAAGGTAGAAACAACGTATGTTTGAGTACAAACTGCTAACATATATAAAACAAAACATATATACATGTTTAAGAAAGTACTGTGCAAATGATCTAGTGGTTTATATAAAACATTTTTTATATCAGATTCTCTGTAAGAAATCATTTCAAAGCAAGACAGATTTTAATTATAAGGTAGTTCTCAAACCATGAATCTTAAGGATGATACGATACAAGGCATGATAAAAATATATGGTAAATGTTTAAGTTAAAAAATTTATTACAGTAAAAGACACACTGTCACTGATCTCCCCTCCACGATGGCCCTCACTTTAAATACACTACCCCGACATTCTTGCCACTTTCTGAAGCAGTTCTGGAAGTCCTCTTTCATGAGGGTCTCTGGCTACACTGTCATGGCTACCTTGATGTCCTGAATTGCCTCAAAATGTTTATGCCAATTTCTGTCAAGTAAACATTACGTTGTGTCCTTATCCACTTTCTAGACTGGATCTGGCACTGTGTGACTTCTGGCTCTTTCCCAAAGTCAAAAGGGCCAGGAAAGGTACATGTTTTGGATCAATTCAGGAAAATAAGGCAGCCATGACGGCACAATAGACAAACTCACAAAAGAGGACTTCCAGGACTGCTTCAGAAAGTGGCAAGAGGAGCCGGGGATTTAGCTCAGTGGTTCCTCTACCTGTCTTTCGAGCACAAGGGCCGGAGTTCAATCCCTGGTACCACAAAAAACCCAAAACAAACGAACAAAAAGAAATGTCAAGAATGATGGGAAAAGTGTGTTCAATGAGAGGGGGAATATTTTGAGAAGAAATAATGGCAATATATCTTTTACTACAATACTTAAAAAAAAATGTAAACATTCACTGTAGTTTGGACCACATCTCATGTATTAAGACTACATATAAAGTCCTATCGACTCTAATAGTTGGGAGTAATCTGAGGGTTTGGTGGTAGTGTAAGTGTAGAAGCGAGTACAGTTAAATTATATTAAATCTTTGATTATCTGAATTGTCCTGGCAGTGCTTACACCCTGCTTAGCTCCCCAAAGGGATGTGGTTTGAAGTGGCTGTGGCTCCAGGCTTCCTATTTTTCTTAAAGCATAAAATCTTCTGGGGTTGGTACGAAGTGCGTTCGTCTTTGCAAGGCTATAATTATAGTTGAGCTGTGCTTCATAACCAAGTATAAACACAAGCCGAATTCCAACCACACATTCACTTTAACAAAAAGATCATCTTCATTTCAATTAAATTATAGAATATGATCTCTGATATTTAATGAAACTAACTTTAATATTTCTTGACTTTATAAAAATGATTTTTTTCTCTGAAAAAGCAACCAACCAATATATTCTGATTATATTCTATAAGCAAAACATTTGTACATGTGTGTTGATATGGGGCAACTTTAAGTAATGAATAATCATAAAGCAAACATTAAAAATACAGATACATCAGTATTTTCTTTGGGTTTTTTCTGAGCCCAGGACCTTACACTCAATCTGAACTTACTTTATTATAAAGTCTATATATTTTTGGTTTCTAATTCTTGCTGGTCATTTTGCAAAGATAAATAAAATATAAAGAATTTACGATACCATAATACAGTATCTATCATCACAGTAAGAAAAACAACTCAAAATAAACATCCCATGAAAAGATTATCTCGACACCAAGTACAGTGGTCTGCTCTAATTTGTATTTCCAAATTGTGGTGATCACAGGGAGGATCACAGCTCCAAAAATATTCAAATGGCTGCATATCATTAGGCTTTGTCTTTGGCTATACATTTTTAATTGCTTGCTTTATATAAAGCACATTTTCTACAGAGGGAAACTTACCATTCCCAAACTCTTAAGCTCTTATCATCAGATGTACTCACAAATCTTCTATTCTCATCGACAAAAACAATGGTGTTGACAGCTCCCAAATGTCGATCATATTCCTGCACAATTTCTCCACTTCGAATGTCCCACTGTACAGCAAACGAGAAGACAAAGACAAAAGTGGAGCAGATTTATGAAAGCCAACGAAGATGTACTTCTGCAAAGTACACTATGAATTGACTATATTTCTAACAAGAACAGAACATCAGCAATCCTTAAAAGTAGCAAATATTAAATGAGTTAACATTCTGTGCTCTCCATTATAACATAAAGGTCAGGAATCTTAATAAAAAATAGTGCAAAAAGACTTACTTGCACAATCTTTTTATCAGACATCCCAGCTACAAAAAGGTTTTGTTTATCTTCATCAGGATTGAATTTGACACAATAGGGTACTTTTCGGTTTGTGAATCTTGATATACACTGTCCTAAAAACAAAGATTCAAATTAAGTAAGAAAAACAAATTTGACCACTTAGCCACGACTGTGGCCTTCACATCTAGTGGTCAGTTGCTTAATAAAATTTGAGGCAGAGCATCTTGCTCACTCTTTACTGTAAACTACATTGTTCCTTTTCATAGATTTTTAGTGATTAAAAATAATTTTTCAAAAGTTAATCTGTATGGGGCTGGGGATTTAGGTCAATGGTTCTACTGCCTTCCTCACAAGCGCAAGGACCAGAGTTCAATCCCCAGTACCAAAAAAAAAAGTTAATCTGTACCACCAAACTTTGAATAGGTAATTATAATTTCATTCATACAGAGGAATACTTGAAACAGTTATAAAGAAAATAAATTACTGGTACAAAACCTCATGACCCTCAGATATTATATTGAGTGAAAGCAGCAAGAAGCAAAAGAGAAAATATGGTATGATTTCATCTGTAAGAAGTCCAAGACAGGCAAAATGGACCAACCCATCACGGCAGAGTAGCTACCGTGATCCCAGGGAACAGACTGGAAAAGGGCATAAGAAATCCATACTGAGTGACTGAATTGTTCTAGATGTTGATCTTGTGGTATTTAAACAAGTTCGTACATATGTTTATTAAAAAATTACTGAGTATTTGCAGATATTCTATACTTTATGCATATTATATTTTGATTTTTCAAAAAGCTTTTTAGTGGAAGGGGGGCTCTTAGCCTTGGCTGAATATGGAATTACACTGTCCATACCTTGGACCAACCACACCTCTGATGGTGGGACTCGGACCTCAGTGATTCTGAAGATCTTCAAATGATAACAGTGTGTAGATAGAATTGGGCAGTGTCTACAGAGGTGAAAACATAGGCTTGGACATCAGAGACCTTGGTTTGAACTGAACTGTGGCTGTGTGACCCTGGAAAAGCTGCCTTTATGCTTCAGTTTCTTGATCTATAATGTAATGATGCTACATAACTTAGGGGAATATATTAAGATCGGATGACACACTGCATACAAATGCCTAGCCTAATGCCAGCCAGGTAAACATGAGTTACCTGTATTTCCATTACCCTTAAAATTCAGTAAGATAAAAGGACGATTTTTTTCTAATAATATGAAACTATACTAGCCATTAAAATACTGATGGAATCAATATAGTTCCAAATATGTAAAACCAATTAGCCCATGGGAGTTTAGACCTACATTTTAATCAATTTGAACAGTTTATTTCTGCTCATCAGACATTGTGCCTCTATTAGGTACATATGTTTGCTTTATCAGCCCTTATGTTGTAGGGACAAAGTTTCACTGTGAAAGTGCTGATATAGCCAAGTTTCAATTCTATAAACAGTTTGTGACCTTAGTGGATAGCCAAGGGGCTAAGAATCAGAAGTTGGAGGAGGTACCGTTTTGCCACAGAAGACCACTCATACTGTCCAAATATAAATACTAACTTAGAAGACAAAGATGTACTACTTACTAGTGCATTCTTACCTGTCTCAGTGTCCCAGAGTTTAAGATACCTGTCATAGGCTGCGCTGAGGAACTGGGTTCCTGCAGTATTGAAACAGATGTCCCTAACAGCTTTACCGTGACCTAAAGGGAGTCAACAGAAATGCCAGTGAGATCAAGTACTGCATCTTCATATTATAAAGAGAAACAGCATTAAAAGCCGGGCTCAAGGAAGGTAGGCTAAAGTCAAGATCACTGGGGCTTTTTAATTTACTGTTTCATAGTTCATTATGTGTGGGTTGTAGATTGTGGGCGTTTTTCTCCCTTCAAGAAGCTCCTCAGGTAATTCTGACATATGTTTCAATAAGAATCAAGAGAAAAGGTCTAATTTAAAATAAAACTTGTCATGTCAATCTCTTACTGTGCAGTAAGACAAGTGATGACTAAACAGCCAAGAATTTACAGAAACAAAATAGATGAATTATTGCTAATGAAAGAAATGATGAGATTCACTCAGATTGTTCACTAGGCTGGAAGTGAAAACAGAGTGACCTAAAACTTCAGGTCAGGAAACTGTAGCCCTTGTGGAATAATTATTTCTGTAATCACATTAATCAACCTTCGTGGAAACTGATTCAGAATCTCAAGAGACTATGTCGTTTGAAAATAATATTAGCTTTTATGTTAAAGTGACATTTGACAGTAGATTAATTTTAAGATACTAATGATGCTTTCACTTGGAAATCAATCTTGCCAGACCAATCAACTCTTTTGAATGCAGAGACAAAAGCAGAAAGTTTCCCTCTTACTACTTCCCCCACCACGACCAAACCACATACAAAATGTGTGTGGCACAAACTGCCGACCACATGCAGCATGAATCACCACTGACTTCTGGTAAGCCTGTGTGTGCCATGGCAACAGGGCAATCCTGCCCACAGTAAGGGGGCTGCAGAACTGCCATAGTCCTCTAAGGAGGAGAACTTCAGCTTTCCACTGAAAAGTGGTCGGCTGTCCTGGAGGCAGATGGGGACCAAATCCACTCTATCTGACAAAGATATTTTGTCCCCTGGACATAGCCTTTCCATATGTCTTCCTTTAGACTGTGTGACATCTTGGATAGTATTTATTCAGGTGGAGGTCCTAAAATCTTAACACACAGCTGAACAGACACCCACTTTAATCTAAAAACAGAGCTACTATGACTTACACAAAGAGTTCCACAAAGAGTACAATTAAATTTGGAGCTAGCCTTCACATGAAATGACAAACACAATAAACCTTTCTCATTTGTCACACAGCTGTCTTCCCTTTGGCTCTCATTTGCATCCATTTATGCCTCAGCTGCCAACTCCTAACCTTGCCTCAAAGCTCAACATCTGGCTGTTGATCACTGGAAATGTTCATGTCTACATCCCACTGGCAGCTCAGATTCAGTGGTCTAAACTTTATTATCCCTTCAAGTTCTGTCCCTTGGTAAGTGATACCACACTCTTCCAGCCACCCAGGAGGCATCCTAGATTCCTACCTCTCATCACTCACCACCCATCACTAAATTCCATTAATTCAACTCTTCACAGCTCTTTCCTCCTCTGTTTCTTTGGTTCAGATTCTCAGGATCTCCAATCCAAACAACGAAATAATTGTGCAATTCACTTCTTTTCTTCTGGGCTTGCTTGATCAAGAAATTCTCCAGATTGCCATGCAATCCTTGTAAACTTCCAATCATGCTACTTTGCTGAAAGAACTGCTCAATGGCTCCCCAATGCCCTGAGGATAAAGTCTAAACTCTATGAATGATATACACGATTGTCCATACCCTTATTCCCCTTCCACTACTTTTGTCTCTTACCTATATTCTGGCAGTTCTGCATTATATGTGATTCTCCCAAAGCAGCGTGCTTTCGCCTATCACTTTTGCTGCTCTTACTTCCTAGTTCTCTTTGTCCACTTGGAGACACATACTCCTTCTTTCAGGATTGGTTCAAGTGTATAGAGATTTTTCTCTGTATCAGTGTAGTAAAATTACTGCCTATGATGTCATCTTAGTTTAGAAAGTCTTTCCAAACACATTTATAGCCAAGGAAAAGACGTATTACCAATAAATGTTCGTAGACAGCGCCGGTCTCCATAAACCTCCCATAGCTGGAGGAAAAAAAAAAAAAAAAAAAAAAGGAACGTTTAAAAATTTGCTTTGGTGCAGAGGATTAAATCCAGGGCATCATGGATGCTAAGCAATAATACTCATGCACACCGGGTACGTACGCATCTCTGTGTGTGTGCAGGAGATCTCATTAATAAATGTTGTAGGTGCTGTCAGTTTGTGTTTTACCATTTAGAATACATACATAAACACATCCTTATAAATAGTTTTAAAGATTTTTACATCAAAAGTTATACAAAGATATTTGTATTGAAATATCAAGAGAACTATGGATGGAGTTAATCCAGGCAGGTTCATTTTCTTATTGTTCTTTTTGAGTTTTGTTTTGTTATTGGGTTTTTTCCCCCCTTCTTCTTTTTGGTACGGGAAAGAACTCAGCACCTTGCATTTGTGAGGCTGGCACATTGCCACTGAGCTAAATCCCTGGTTTATTGTTCTTTTTCTCTATTTTATAGATTTTCTGTGCTAAAAGGTTTCTACTTTTAATAATACTATGAACTACCTTTAAAAGGAATTAAGTGCTATTAAAACTGGCATGTGTATAATATGTTGATATTGAAGGGCTTTTTTGGGAGGAGTGTTTTTCTGAAGTAACAAATATTCTAGAAGCTGCATGAAAATAATGATCTAAACTAAAGTAACATGCATAATTCTAATCATTTCTAAAGTAAATGAATACAAAGCTTCAAAAGTAGCTTTATTCTTGTCTGCCTCAAATCCAATCCTTCATAATGTTGCTAGTGCTTGAAAATAGCATTTCCTGGCCACCGAGGGCCAACTGGATAGTCTCAATTCCTATAGCATGACAGGCAAGGACCTCTGAGATCTGGCCCCTTGCCTAAGACTATAATCATTCTTTGTTGCTTACATTTTATGCTCTGGCAACCACAAAACTTTTGTATTTTTTCAACATACACCATGCCGATTCATTCTGTTCACTCTTCCCAAATTCTAGTCCTCCACTCTTTACTTAGCCCTACTGAGGGATACTTCCTCCTTGAAACCAAAACAACTGTACCTGTGTCTGTCTCTACACCAACCATTTACGTCAGAATGAAATGATTACTGTATGGGCAGGGACAGCACCTTAGTAATTTTTTATCTTCAGGCCCCAATACCTAATAGGTAGCTAACAATGTTAACTGAATTCTATCCTTTTTTAGTTAGTCAAAGAGATGATAGTAATATCAAGTAATGCAGTTTGTATAAAGTTAAAGTTAAAGGAGATAATTCTTTGCAATAAACTTTGAGATGAAATTTCTATTAGAAACAAATGTCTAAATGGATGCTCTCATGAAAAGAAGCTGTCTTTAAGTACTGCTAATATTCATGAATTATTTAAAATGGTAAAACTAATGATTCAGCTTTCCAAGCTGTAAGAGCACTATAGTGCTGGTGTTTATTGAAATACTGCAATGATTTGGACACACTGAAGACACAACAAGGATAAGAACTCTTTTCAGATTTAAGCTTTTTTTCCAAGGCTTTCCATACATTCAAGTTGATATATATTGGCTTTTTTTTTTTTTTTTTTTTTTTTTTTTT